ATGATAGTTCCATAGGCAATTTCTTCCATCGTCTCTTTTTCTTCTGCTGTGATCGATTGGGGTAACTATTTAGGATCTAGAATTACTTTTGAAGCATTTTGCTGTCCAAGACAACTTTGATTTTGGCCTTCCACAACTCAAAGTCACCCTTTCCATCGAATTTTTCAATTTCGAATCTTGCAACTGTCATGCTCTGTTTCTTGAATCTTGCAGGCGTCTTTCTTCTCACTGCTAGGCTCTGATACCGCTTTTGTTAGGACCGAACGAGGAGAAGAGATAATGCTAAACGAAATTCCTTCTAGAGTAAAACAAATCTGACCCAATTGCAAGCAGAAATCAATGAAGAAGAAAGGGAATAAGAGATATGCATAGAGATTTAAGTGGTTTAGTCATTCAAGGACCTACATCCACTATAGAGGGCAACAAATTTTTCACCATTCAGGCAAGGGTTTTCAAGTGCAAAAGACATAGTTATTCCTTTGGACTATTTCGAACTATTTCATTACTTGATTCTCTTATTGATTCTAAATTTTAATTGTTGAACTTAAAGTGCCAGAAATCCAATCTAGAGAATGACATTCTTTTCGAAAAATCACTATATTAAAATTTGACTCGTCTACTAACCGTTGATTATTATTGCTACACTCATTTAAGTTACCTTTTCTTGTTAAAAAATACGTTTCTTTCTAAGTTTTCTCTCTTTATATAATTTTTATTTTTTCACCCTAACATTTTTTTCTCTTATTTATGCTTCTCTATCAAACATTTTTATCTTCTAAACGTTTTTCTATCTATCTCTTATCTATAAAATTTATGGCGATGTAGAAATTTGGTCTCCTGAAATATCACCAAATTTACACCAATATTCAAAGTATGAAAGGGATCGGCGTGACCTGCAAAACATAATAGCACTAGGATCGGTGTGGTTTTTGCCATACGGGCTCGATGCTTAAGTTAGTATCGGAGAAGTCGAATGTCGAGAGTAGGGTGTTTAGGCGTACCTTTTGGGTGTGGCTTACTTGCCTATTTATAGAAGTCCTAATCTCCCTAGGGTTTACAGAAGTCGAACCCTAGCACCTTTAGAAGATCTGGACTTCTGGACTCATGTGTTCCGTTATGGGCCTAACGTCGGATTGAGGGTCGAGATCAGGCGGGGGTTCGGATCGGGCTGCATAGGAATTGAGGAGAACCGAATGAGAGTTCTCGGCCATATGGCTGAGAACACCTCGGAGCCGAGGCCTGGTCGCCCGGGCCTATAGTCTTCGGTATTTACCTGCGCGGTTCTTTGCTGTCATCTACTCCGTCTTTGTCGTTTCCTCCGTTCTATCTATTTCTTCCCACAACAATAGCCCCACTCTCAAATAGAAGCCAATAAGCGTAGGTAAAATGTTAAGGCTTCTATATTGAGAGTACTTGTCGCTCAGTCATTCCATGGGTGATTGTTTTTGTGGAACATACCCTCTCATCGTGGTCGGCTGTTATTTCACGGGTTGACCCTTTTAGTCCTCATATCTCTTTGTCGCTATGGTCAAGTCTCTTGGGCTCTGCCATACAGTTAATTTGAACTGTTTAGTTTTTTTTAGCTGAGCCAGCGGTACCACACCCTTGGGTTTCTAACTATTTGGCTTTTGCCCATGATTTTATACCCAGGGTTTACTCTTTGGTTTCTAACCTAATTGGTTTTCGCCAATGGTTTTATACCCTGAGTTTAGTCGACACCATTGGGTTTCTAACATATTTTGGCTTTTGCCAAATAGTTTTATACCCTGGGTTTTATTGACTGGTTTGGCTTGTCTACTTTCTATTTTTAACCTTGCTGCGGTTGTATACATATCTTTTATAGCACATTTGAGATTCTCTTCCCTGGTTTCACTGAATGACTTATAGCTTATCGGTCTGCTTCTAGGTCTATTACCGTTTGAGTTCTTTGACCAGCTGTTGATTAACTTACATGTGCCCCCACTTGAGGAGTTTTTTGTTTAGAATAAAAATAAATGCTCAAGTAGTAAAAGCTAATTAAACCTTATATGCTAGGACTGATCAGAAGCAAGTAATCGTTCTTGGAAACATAAAGTCATATGCAATCTGAAATAAACGATATATACTACCTAATATGTAAGCAATAAAAATGTAGCCTTAAATATATTCAATCATTAAAGAAAAAAAAAGATATTATCTTGTGGTTTCTCAAGATGACGTAGTAGTATCCCCGCAATACTCATTACTATCCTTTGACTCTTGTTCGAGCGGGACTGTCGTTGGAGTATATTTTGTTAGGGGATCTGGTTGATCTGATTGGTCTTAAGTTTTGTCGAGATCCCATTTTGAATGAAGTAGCTCTTTTGCGCTCATATACTTTTGGGCTGAGTTAATGCTTCTGAGAAATTTGTCGGGGCCCTTTTTCTAAAAGAGAATAGTATCTTTTTTTCTCACACCAGATATGAAAGCAAGTAGTGATATTTCGTTGGTAAGATCTTTAACTAGTAATCTTTCCTCGTTGAAGCGAGCCACATATTCTCCAAGGCTCTCCGTTGATTTTTGTTTTATAGTAAGGAGGTAGGTCACATGTCGACTTCTATTATGCCCTCCAATGAATTGCGTGATAAACGACCTGGCCAGTTCCTTGAAGGAGAAGAATGACTTTCTTCTCAATTGTTGGAACCATATACGAGCTGTGCCGGTTAACGTGAAAGAGAATACTTTGCACCTGATTGCCTCTATTATTCTGTAGAGATCCATCCATTCCTTATACGTGCACAGATGGTCGACAGGATCTGTTGAGCCGTCGTATTGCTTTATAGTAGGAGTCTAAATTTTGGAGGGATCTTTCCTCTCATTATCTCCTCCACGAATGACGAATCTGCCTGATCAATAGTTTCTTCGAGCCCGCATTCCCTATTCTTCTGTTTTCCATTATGCTTCTGTGATTCTTCTGCATGTTGGTTGAGTGGTTTTTCTCTATCGATCATGGTGTTCCTGAGACCTGGTCGGGTTTCTGTGTCGTTAGCTTCTACGGTTGTATAATTTTCAAATCCTGTAGGCGAAGAGCTTTGTTTTGTTGTTTGTCATTGCCTCCTATTATCAATTTACTCTGTGCGAATGGGCTATTCGTGGATTCCTTCACATCTTCAGTTGCGGGAGCTTTGCCATTCCATGGATCCCAGATAAGTGTAGGTGGTCTCTTTTCTGGTTACTTAAACCTTTTGAGAATGAGGGATATGCTCTAGTCCATCCCTGCGGCCTTCTCTTCTAAAGCGACAAACCTGCTCTTGTGCTGTTCAGGAATTTCCGTCAGTTGCTCTTCTTGTCCTGGAATATGTTGTCTTATGTCGTTCAGAACCTGCTCAAAAAGTTGTCAATATGCTTCACCCTCTGTCGTCTCGGGCAAAAACAGCCCCCGAGTCGTATGGCATTCATCGTCGAAATGTTGTGGTTTATCTCCAGAATTCATGTTGATTTGTTTCTCTTTTGGATTCTGTCTTACACCTTGTTGATTTGCTTTTCCCCCTGATCTCCTCGGACCCGAGCAATTCTCGGTCAATTTGATCGTTCTGACTTTTAGATCTTAGTCACCCCTACAAACGGCGCCAATTGTTGATGCAAAAATTTGGTCTCCTGAGATCTCGCCAAATTTGCACCAATCTTCAAAGTATGAAAGAGATCGACATGACCTGCAAAGCATAATAGCACTAGGACCGGTGTGGCTTTTGCCACACGGGCTCCGATGCTTAAGTTAGCATCGGAGAAGTCAAATGTGGAGAGTAGGGTGTTTAGGTGTACCTTTAAGGTGTGACTTACTTCCCTATTTATAGACGTCGAATCCTAATCTCCCTAGGGTTTACAGAAGTTGAACCCTAGCAACTTTATGAGATCTGGACTTCTGGACTCATGTGTTTCGTTATGGGCCAAACGTCAGATCGAGAATCGAGATCAGTCGGGGTTCGGATCGGGCTGCACAGGAATTAAGGAGAATCGAATGAGAGTTCTCGACCATCTGGCCGAGAACACCTCGGTGCCGAGGAGGCCTCTGCATCGAGGTCCCCCGGGTCGACGGTCTCTGATGTTTACCTACGCGCTTCTCTCCCATCCTCTACTCCCTCTCTATCGTTTTCTCCGTTCTATCTATTTCTTCCCACAACAATTTATATTGATAAAATTTTCTTTCCCTCTCTCTAACATAAAAATTTTAAAATCCGTTAAGCAGGACTTTTATTAAGAATTCTATATTTTTACTCTATTTGCTCCTGTTTGCTCCCTACTTTTAGAATGCATTTGACAGAGCACTATATCAGTAAGATTTATATGGGCGGTTGATATTTTGAGATAAAAAAATAGAGACGTATGTGACACCGACGATATTAGTTTGTAAATCAGCATGGACAAATTCAAAATTTTTATTTTTTTCTTGAAACAAGCAACTAAAGCAAAAATTAAAAAGAAAAAAGGGAAAAAGATGAAGTAAAATGGGCGACGCGTTTCTCTCCTCTAGAAAGGGACACATCTTTCCAACTTGAAGAAAAGAAGACAAAGAGAAAGGACAATGGAAGTCAACTCTGACAGAACTGATTGGAGACAATGAGAATTAAATTTTCCCCACATCACCATTTAAGAACTAATTCTTTTTTCCTTTTTCTCTTTAAGTCTATATTTTTAGATTTTCTAGTCCATCCAACACACATTTCCGTTTCTAATTTTTCATTTTCAAATTTTTACAACTTTTTCGGTAACATCATCCAAACTTTCAACTAAAATTTGTTTTTTCTTTTCTATTTCTATTTTCAATTTGTTTTTAAATATAAATCAAAAAATTATTTTGAAATTTTATAATTCATTTTTCTTTATTAAAATTGGAGAAACATAAATGAAATTTGGGCGTATTTTCTTATAATTTGGTCCCCGAATTGGAGTCTTAAAATAAATACAGACAAAATTTTAAAATGAAATAGCAAAGCAAAGATGAAGACAGAACATGCATTAGAAAATTAAGAAGCAGGCAGTATTCTTCCACTGGCAGAGAAGACTTTGTGCAATGCAAGTTGAATATCAGTGCAGCGCGTTCCCATTCCAATTTTCTCCAAAACTTTCTCGCACTCGCAGAGAAGACTTCGCGTGCAGCAGCCATGGCCGATAAGCTCGGAGCTCAACACCGCGGTTGGATCTACGATGTTTTCTTGAGTTTTAGAGGCGAGGACACGCGCAAGAACTTCACCGATCACCTCTACTACGCACTCAAAGATTCCGGCATCAACGTCTTCCGAGACGACGAAGAGCTCCGGCGAGGCGAAGACATAAGTTCGGAGCTGAAGCAGGCGATCCAAGGATCCAAGGTGGCGGTTATTGTTTTCTCGCATAACTACGCGGATTCGCGGTGGTGCTTGGAGGAGCTGGTCAAGATTATGGAGTGCAGGAGAACTTTGAGGCAATTGGTTCTCCCCGTTTTCTACGATGTCGATCCCTCCACTGTGAGGAAACAGACGGATGGATTTGAACACGCCTTTCTTCGTCACGAGGAGCGTTTCTTCTTCGACATTGATAGAGTTCTTCGCTGGAGAATGGCTCTCACTGAAGCTGCAAATTTATCTGGTTGGGATTTGAGAAATGTCGCAGATGGGTACTTATTTCTTCCGCCAAAATCCTCATATTTCACTTTAATCGTTAACTAATTTTGGTTGAATATACGTTTTAGTCCTATTCTCTATGTTCTGGTTGGTTGGCGGATAGGCCATTAGTTTTAGTTCACACAACAGAATTTGTTTTTTTCTTTATGCAGCCATAGTATTTGAGAAAATGTGCATGATAAACACAGTGATATATAGACCATACAAACATTGAAATTTTGTATATCTTCAATGATTGTAGGGAATTTAATCCTTTATTTTGACTTTTGAGTAAATTTGAATGCTTCGTGGCAGACATGAAGCAAAGTTTATCAGATTAATAGTTGACAAGATATCGAGGGAACTCAACAGCACATACTTATATGTAGCACTCTATCCTGTGGGAATTGAATCTCGTACAAAAGTTATCACATCACAGCTAGAAAAAGGATCAGATGGTGTGCGAATGGTGGGAATTTGGGGCATGGGAGGAACGGGCAAAACAACCATTGCAAAAGCAGTTTACAATCAACTTTATCACAACTTTGAAGGCAGATGTTTTCTTGCCAATATCAAAGAAATCTCCAATCAGCCTGATGGTCAGGTTCGCTTACAAGAACAACTTCTCTGTTCTATCTCAAAATCTAGCAAGACTAAGTTGGAAAATGTTGATCGAGGAATTGTACTGCTGCAAGAAAGATTTCGTCGGAAAAAGGTGCTTTTGATACTAGACGATGTAGATCAAATAGGCCAACTAAATGCAATAGCAAGAAGTCGTGAGTGGTTCGGTTCGGGAAGTAGAATTGTTATCACAACTAGGGATAAGCATTTGCTAGAGCAACTTCGAGTAGATGCAATATGTTCAGTAGATGAAATGAATGACACTGAAGCACTTGAACTCTTTAGTTGGCATGCCTTTCGTAATAGTTATCCTGATGAAGACTTTCATGAACTTTCAAAATGTGTTGTTGATTATTCTGGAGGATTGCCACTGGCCCTTGAAGTCTTGGGCTCTTTCCTTTTTGGTAGAAGCATACCCGAATGGAAAGACGCATTGAACAAATTGAAGACAATTCCGGATGATCAGATTCAAAGAAAGCTTAGAATAAGTTTTGATGGCCTCAGTGATCACACGTATAAGGATATATTCCTTGATGTGTCATGTTTTTTTATTGGTATGGATAGAAACTATGTTGAACAAGTACTGGATGGTTGTGGATTTTTTCCAAAAATTGGAATTAGTGTCCTCCTCCAGAGATGCCTTCTAACAATCGGTGATCGAAACAAACTAATGATGCATGATTTACTTAGAGATATGGGACGAGAAATCGTTCGAGAGAAGCACCCGAAAGAGCCTGAAAGACATAGCAGACTCTTGCTTCACGATGAAGTACTTTCTGTACTCACAAGACAAAAGGTAAGAGATTTTTTTTTTCTTTTTTTGTATTAATTTTCTTATTTTTAGGTTCTTCTGATATTTGGAAATTTTGGTTCAACAGGGAACCGATGCAATTGAAGGCCTAGCTTTAAAGTTGCCAAGATTTAGCAAGGAAAAGTTAAGTACTGAAGCATTTAATGAAATGCAAAATTTGAGGTTACTACAACTTAATTTTGTCAATTTGAATGGAGACTTCAAGCATCTTTCCCAAGAGTTAAGATGGCTTTGTTGGCATGGATTCCCTTTGAAGTTCTTACCAAAAGACTTTCACATTGAAAAATTAGTTGCTATTGACTTGAGATATAGCCACATCAGATTCTTTTGGAAGGAGTCCAAGGTACACATTTTTTTTTTATACTTAGCGTATAAAATATTGAAAATTGATATTTTGCATTTCTTCCTCTGAATTATTTTTCTCTGGTCTTTGTACACAGTTTCTTGAGAAGTTGAAAATTCTTAATCTTAGTCATTCTCATGACTTGACGCATACTCCAGATTTCTTGAAGCTCCCTAGTCTCGAGAAACTAAAACTCAAAGATTGCAAGAATTTGGTTGAGCTGCACCATTCTATTGGAGAACTCAAAGGGCTTGTTTTCATAAATTTGAAAGACTGCAAACGCCTCAAATCGCTTCCAGAGAGTTTCTCCAAGTTGAAATCTCTTGAAACTCTCACTATTTCTGGCTGCTCGAAGATTAATACTTTACCCGAGGATTTAGGAGAATTGAAATCCTTGATAACTCTAATCGCAGATGACACTGCCATTCAACAAGTTCCTTCTACAATTGTAAAGTTGAAGAATCTCAAGTATTTATCTCTATGTGGATGTAAAGGACCTCCATCAAAATCACTCCCTTCACTCTTCTGGTCTTGGATTTCACCTAAGAAACAACATCCAAATTCTATTGTTCTCCCTGCTTCTTTACAAGGTCTGAACTCACTTAGAACACTGCGTCTTAACAACTGCAACTTGTCAAATAACACAATTCCAAAAGATATAGGGAGTTTGGTTTCTTTGATGGAATTGGATTTGCGGGACAATTCATTTCATAGCTTACCATCAAGCATCAGTGGCCTTTCAAAACTTCAAACTCTTTTGTTGGACTATTGCACAGAGCTGGAATGCATCCCAGATTTGCCACCACGTTTGAAATCGTTGTATGCCTCAAATTGCACTTCATTAGAAAGCACGTCAGATCTATCAGAAGTCAAGAATATGGAAACTTTGTCTGTCAGTAACTGCCCCAAACTTGTAGAGATTCCTGGCTTGGAAAAACTGTTGGATTCTATTCGAGTGATTCACATGGAAGGGTGTAGCAAGATGACAGATTCATTCAAAGAAACTATTCTGCAGGTCTCTCTATCTCTATCTCGATAAACTTAAACATCATTTAACGATTATAGATTTAAATTATATCTTGTTTGTCAACTTTTTCATATCTACTTCAGTCCTTACTATTGAAACCTTTTACTTATAATTAAACAAGAGTCTAAAATCTTTTTGGGAATCTGAAATCTAACTTACTATTTGTGACCCTAAATACTCTTGTCGATCAAGTTATGTACTTATATCAAGTCTCTATTCATAAAAAATTTAACGATAAGAACTAAAATAATTTTGATGCTCATTGTAGGTCTAAATTAGAGTGTTTAAAAGTTTATAGACCAAATTAGAACCAACACGAAAGTTCAAGGACCATGGTATTAAGGTTTAGAGCATGATTATATTGCTCTTATTTTATCACATTTTATTTGATTTTGAACAGGGATGGACCGTCGTCAGTGGATTTGGAGGTGTTTGTCTTCCAGGCGATGAAATTCCGGATTGGTTTGCGTACAAGGACGAGGGAAACTCAGTATTTTTTGACATGCCTCAGTTTAGTGATTGTAGTTTAGAAGGCTTCATTGTGTGCATTGTTTACTCTTCTTGTGTTGACAACACTATGACAACAGACCTCTCTAGCCTATCAGTCATAAACTACACAAAAAGTGTCATTAAAACCAACAAGCCTCTTACAAATGAGGTTATAATGTCAACTAAAGATCATCTATGGCAAGGCCACTTATCAAACCAGGCCTTCAAGATGGAAGCAGGAGATGAAGTTGAGATCATTGTTGACTTTGGAGCTGAAATCACTGTCAAGAAGATCGGCATCTCACTGGTATTCGACAAATATATCGGCACAAAAATGTTAGAGTATACTTCGGCCTCAACCAATGACGCTATTGTCGTAAATGAAGACAAAGATGAGACTGAAGGTGAAGGAGGAGCAGGGATTAAGAGAGGTTGTAATGATGATGATGTAGGACAAAGTAATTCATACCAGCAACCCAAAAGGTTGAAGTATGAGCATGACACTAGTACTGAGATGAAAATTGATGAGAAGTAGAAGAAAAGGAAAATTTTTGAGTCCAAGAAGTAAGAATTCTTGTGCTTCAATTCTTAATACCAAACAGAATTTGATACACACAGAATGCTGAATGCTAGTCTAGGTAGTATGGAAATCTAGCAAAAGAGATAGAAGGCAAAGTTCAAAAGTAAAAACAAAATATTGGTTCGAGTGAGTGGATGGGCAAAGATAGAGTTTAACATCGGATGGTGATTCCATTTGATAAGTAAATGGTGCGGCCGTTAGAGGCGAAGCAGCAGTAGCAAGGTGGAGATAGGCGGTGGTCGTCGGAGGCAAGGCAGGTCATGTAGGAGGCATCCATGCAGAAAAGTGGGCACCCTCTAGCGGGTCTTTCACACTTGGTTCGCCCACCATAAGTACTACACAAATACGAAAATTTAGCATATAGCTCTAACTAATTAAGACACCTACGGTACTAAACAAAATCATATAAATTTGTTTGATTATGTGTTTCTTTGAGGATGTTATCTATTCTTGGTACATTAACCTTTATAAAGGTTGTTTTTACGGCAGTTGGTCATTTTAGATTGTATAAATTACTACGAGTTAGGTTAAATCAAGATGTCTATTTTATCAAATTAAAGTATAAAACAATTCTGAATCAATGAATAAAATGAATTTGTTAATAAATTTTAACATATGTTGAGGGTAAAACTGAGTTAGGACACGTGTCAACATTTGCGAGGCATGAGATTACAGATGGCTACACATCGTATGCTATGATGGCAGGAGGGTGCGCCTCTACCCCTGCGGTACGGGAAGCACGCCAAGTACTACGACCGGATAGCCGTAGGCGAGATGTTTAAGACCTGCAGGCAGATGCGCCACCCACTGATTGTCAGGGGCGTATACTCCCCGTCAGGCGCTGTGCAGCCCAACACGTCCCTGCCATCCCAATTGTCATTCTTCCTAGTCGGCCACCCGAACCTATATAAGAAAAGGACCCCACCTTTGCAAGTTAGTGAAAAATCTGTCCCCCAAAAATATATTTTCCTATTTCCTACTTTGATTTTTAACTTAGGTGTCAGAGTGTATTGGGCGGGACACCGTACCAGCGTCGGGTTGCAGGCTCATTTGATCCTTGGCGAAGTTGCTCGTTCGAGAGATCCATGGACCTCTCCAAAATTCGCCGTCAACAATCCATGGACCTCTCCAAAATTCGCCGTCAACAATCCATGGACCTCTCCAAAATTCGCCGTCAACAATCCATGGACCTCTCCAAAATTCGCCGTCAACAATACATATAAACCAAACTAATTTGAGACCTTTCATACAATTTTTTATTTTAAATTATTTTATTAATAAGAGTAGTTAATTCTAATCTTATATTATTTTATTAATTATAAATAATAAAATATATTTAACGAATTTACGATATTTTTATAAATTTAAAGCATATACTAATTTAGTTAAATAAATTATATTTTAATAAATAAAATCAAAATTTATGCACTAGTTAATAAAAAGATGGTTGGTTGGTTTAGATGAGATAAAATTTCTTATTTTTAATTGACTGGATTGAAATTTTGTTAGTTTGGGATAGTTTTGTTTTGATTTGATTTAAAAAAGATTAAAAATCAAATATATGTGTTCGACATGTCGAGGTGTCGAGGGTTTCGACATCGACACAGGGAAAAAAAACCTCTTTTCCCCTTGTCGTCGACATATCGACCTGTCGGCCACATGTCGAGGTGTCGACGATATGTCGACGACTCTGTTTTTTTTTCGTTTTTTTCCATTTCTTAGACCGCACCAAAGAGTCTCTATCAAAGAATCATCCCTCTTCTTCCTAGCACACCCACGAACTTGTAACGAAAAACGAAAACGAACAATAGAAAGGAAGCAAGATAAATATTTACGAAGGAAGGATTTTATTCATTGAAATGAGAAATTGTTACGGAACTAAGAAACCGACCACTAAGTCACTACCCTTGAATTTCTCTTCAATCAACCCATAATGCCACTAAGCCTTAAACTTCTGTTCCACTGACAACATTATGTTGCTAAGTCACTAACCCAAAAATTACTCCTCCAGTTATATATCCACTCACCATTACTTCCTATGAAATTAACTACCCACTAATGCATTAACACCTAAAAACTCTCAAGCACACCATTACTTCCTACGAAATTAACTACCCACTAATGCATTAACACCTAAAAACTCTCAAGTACTAGCATAAAAATTAAACATAAATTTGCACTAATTTTTAACACCTCCCTTGGTACAAATGTACGGTCAACAACACCAAGTGAACTTCTGAGTTTTTCAAACTTATGTTTGCCAAGCGCCTTAGTAAATATCTACAACTTGCTCCTTGAAATGTATCTTCTGCAACTGAATGTCTTGTGTTAGAACTTTCTCTCGAACAAAGTGAAAATGTGTTTCAATATGCTTTGTACGAGCATGAAACACTGGATTCCCTGCAAGTTTGATTACACATTCATTGTCACAAAAAATGGACACTGGATAGTCCACAATAGAGAATATTTCTCCCATAAGTCTTTTCAGCCAAATAAACTCTTGAGTAGCCATAGTAGCGACTACATATTCTGCATCACAACTTGAAAGAGCAACAGATGTTTGCTTTTTACTGCACCATGATATAGCCCCTGAACCTGTATTAAAATTGTACCAAGTTGTGGAACGTCTGTCATTGACATTATCGGCCCAATCTGCATCAACAAAACCACTCAGCACAAAGGATGTAGCTTGTTTATACAACAAGCCAAAACTCAAAGTGCTCTTCACATATCGAAGAATCCTCTTTGCTGCAATTAAATGGCTTCACATGGTTTCTCCATAAACTGAGCAACAACACCTACAGAGTAAAAGATGTCAGGCCTTGTGATAGTCAAATAAATTAAACTACCAACAAGTTGCCAAAAAGTTGTTGCATCTGCCAATAGTTTTCCTTCTTCCTTAATCAACTTCAAGGATGACTCTATAAGAGTAGTCATTGACTTTGACTCTTTCATACCAAAACGATTCAATAAACTTGCTGCATATGCTTTTTGTGAGATGAAATATCCACCCGACCTTTCAATTTCCAAACCAAGGAAACACCTAGCTTCGCCTAAACTCTTCATTTCAAAACGAATAGACAAAGCATCTCGAAGATTATTAATTTCAACATCATCATCACCAGGTATGATCATATCATCAACATAGAGTAGAAGCATTGTACATACCGAGGTTGTCTTCTTAACAAATAGACTTGAATCTGCATTTGAAGATCTGAACCCACAAAACTCAAGATATTGAGCAATCTTACCATATCAAGCACGTGGAGCTTGCTTAAGGCCATACAAAGCCTTCTTGAGCCGACACACATAATTTGGAAACTCTTCAGAAACAAAACCATGAGGTTGCTCCATAAAAATATCTCGATCCAACTCTCCATAAAGGAAAGCATTCTTCACATCCAATTGCCATAATTTCCAATCTTGGCAAGCAGCTAATGAAATAATAGTTCAGATGGTTACCATTTTAGCAACATGACTGAATGTCTTCTTGTAGTTTAGACCATATTGTTGTGAAAAACCACGAGCAACCAAACAAGCTTTATATCGGTCAATAGTACCATCATGCCTTTTCTTCAACTTGTAAACCCATTTACAAGTAACTAACTCTACATTCTTTGGCCTTGGAACAAGTTCCCATGTGTCGTTCTTGTTTAGAGTCGAAATTTCATCATGAATTGCCTCTTCCCATTCAAGAACACCTTTGACTTCATTGTAAGATTGAGGTTCTTCTTCATAAACATCACCCATTAAAAAACAAGAGACAAACGAACAGTTACTTAACTGTACCTCATAATCAGATAAATAATTGAGTCGAGTTCTTTCTCTAGAAGATCTTCGAACTGCACTTTCTGTAGCTTCATCTGTTCGACATTCTCTCCAGAACTACCATTAAAATCCTTCTCATTTGATGCATCATCACTAAATAAAGGTGATAGAGCAAGACCACTTTTCTTTGTACTCGCGTCCATTTGATGTGACGAAACCTCGTCAAACACCACATCTCGAGAAACAACAATTTCTCTTGTATTTGGATCCATACATATCCATCATTTCTTGCGAGTATCATAATACAATGTCTTGCCTTTGGGTCAAGTTTAGTACGTTTACTCTTTGAACATGAACATAACAAATTGACCCAAAAACTCGAAGATAACTCACATTGGGTTTGCGATGATATAGTACCTCAAATGGAGATTGATTCAACCCTGACCATGTAGGTAGGCGATTTATGACATGACAACCTGTCCAAATAGCTGTTGCCCAAAGCTCTCTTGGAAGGTTCTTTGGATGCAGCCAAGACAAGCACATAGATGTGAGATGAGCCAATTTATGATCAGCAACCCTATTCTGCTGTGGAGTGTCAGGACACGTCATTTGGCGCTGAATGTCATGCTCCTTGCAATACTTTTGAAATTAATCGGACATATATTCTCCCCCATTATCAATGCACAAACACTTTATTGGCAGCATAAATTCCTTCTCCACCTGCTCCTTAAATTGAATAAATTTGGAGAATGTCTCACTTTTAGCCTCCAAGAAATACATCCAAGTGAATCAAGAAAAATCATCCACAATAACCATTACATAACAACAACCAGAATAACTTGGTGTTCTAGTTGGCGCCATCAAGTATGAATGAACTAACTGCAATGCAACAGTTGCTCTATTGTCTGAATTTGGGAAAGGGAGATAATGTGATTTTCCAAATTGACAACCAGGACAAACCACATCAAGGTGAATTTCTTTAAGCAGAGGAATACCGTCCAAACGCTTCTTTGTTGAAATTCGCCGTAATTGTTGATAACCAACATGATCCAATCGAGCATGCCAAAGTGGTGCACTATCATTCTGACTTGTCTTTTCAACATATGCATCACTTGTAGATAAAACATAGAGGGAATCCTTCCTCTTTCCAGTTAACAACATATCAGCTAAAAATTGCTTAATATTAGAAACAATTTTCACATTATCTGGACCAAAGAGAACATACCTCCCAGAGTCGGTAATCTGAGAGACTGAAACAAGATTCTTCTTCAAGCCTGGAACACGATAAACATCTTCAAGAAAAACACCACCAACATTTGAAGCATCATTCTCAACATTAATATGCCCTTCTTCAACAACATGATGTAAGGAATTATCGGCCGTCGCAATGGCTCTTCTTCCATGATGTGTACGTACCTCAGAGAGAAGAGAAACATTTCCAATAGCATGATGAGAACAACCAAAGTCAATAATCCAATCCTCATTATAATCTATAGAAGCATTGACATGTATATTAATAGGTTGGTCGACAGCTTCAATTGACAAACATTGATCCCAAGTAGGTTGTTCAGGTTTGTTACTCTCTCGTACAACATTTGCTTCCACTTCTTTGAGATTCACCCAACAATTTGGTCTAATATGACCTGACCTCCCACAACGATGACACACCACTTTCGCCCGACAATCACGTTTGATGTGTCCCTACTTACC